CAGGGATGCCATCAGGGAAGACAGACAATCGATACTCCAAACTTTGTTCTTCAAAAAGTTCAAAGGATGGTAAAGACACAACACGCGCCTTAATACAGTCTTTTTCTAATAAATTGGCTGCATCAACAGCGATTGAAACTTCTGTACCAGTTCCCACTAAGATAATTTGCGCTCCATCAGCTTCTTTCAATACATATCCTCCTTTGAGTGTCTTTTCAACTGAAGAACCTTCTAAATTAGGGACATTTTGACGTGAAAGAGCAATCACTGAAGGGCGTTCAATGTTTTGGATCGCAGCAAGATATGCACCGGAAACCTCGTTTCCATCAGCAGGTCTAAGAAATAGAAGGTTTGGCAATGCACGGAGACTAGCTGCGGTTTCAATAGGTTGATGAGTTGGCCCATCTTCCCCTATAATATTAATATAATATTAATGCATAAAAAATTACAATGCTTGTAAACATCCAAACTTTTTTTAAAAAAAGACGAACCTAAACCGATGGAATCATGAGTCATTATATAAATTGCGCGAAAACACGAAAGCGCTGATAGACGAACAGCTCCCAAACCATAGCTAATAAAGTTCAAGAATGATGCACCAAATGGAATTATACCTCCATAGGAAGCAAGGCCATTCAGAGCAGCAGCCATGCCATGTTCACGAACCCCAAATCTTAAATATCGTCCACTATAATTACCCAATCCCCCAGACTCTGGTTGAAATTCAGTAGCAGTCTTCCATCGTGTTAAATTAGAAGGTGTTAGATCTGCAGAGCCACCAATGAGCTCTGGAAGCACATCAGCAATTTTATTCAAGACTGTCTCTGATGATTTTCTAGTGGCAACGGGAGGATCGGAAGGGGTGTAGCGAGGTAAATGATCAATCCAATTGTCTGGTAATTTATTCGAGAACCTACGTTTTATTTCACTACCCTATAGTTTAAACGTGTATAAGATAATAAGTTTCAACAGAATTAGTTACAATTTTATGAACAGGCTATCAATTAAATTTGCACTGCTAGTACTTGTAATGTCGCACAAATGATTTGAGACTGCCTAATAAATCCTTGAGATATTTATTACATAATTAGAACAATCTCAAACTGGTTTGGCGAACATGATCAATTAGTACTAAGTTATATTTCATTCTATAATACCTAGTCCAGTGCGTCAAGACTTTCAATGTGAATCAAGTATTATTTGTCTTACCAATTCAGGATATTCTGTACAATACTTTTCCAAAAGTTGATTCCATTCTGCTTCTGCTTTAGCTCCTCTTTCACGAAAATGTTTACAGTATTCGTAAACCTGAAAAAATTATTATTAAAAAAAGAAAAAAGAAAATTTAATAATACTAATAATAATTAAACTATTATTAATAAAGCTAACCTCATTCGGTACGTGGAAGAATTGTTCAGGATCGAAACCATATTTTTTCTTGACTTCAACAATATCATCCGGAGCCAAGGGACTACCATGAACCTTTTCGCTACCTTGGTGTTTGGATCCAATACCAATAATTGTCTTGATTTTTATGATGGATGGTTTGTCTGTTACCTTCTTGGCTCGTTCAATAGCAGCGGCAATCTCTTCTAAATCATTATCACCATCAGCTATATACTGTGTGTGCCAACCATAAGACTCAAATCGTTTTAAGACATCTTCCGTAAAGCTCAGGTTAGTGTTACCTATAGATTTAATTGCAATGCTTAATATTTGGGCATAAAATTTAATGACAACAGAACAAAATATAATTTAATTATACCATCAATGGTTACGTAATTGTCGTCATAAATTACAATTAAGTTGCCGAGCTTAAGATGGCTAAATAACAGAATTAGATCAATCAAAAGTTATAATATATAAGAGGCGTCAGATAATTGATTACCCGGCAAGCGATGCCGCCTCGGAGGCAACGCCCTCTTGAAGGCAACCGTCACCATTGATCACGTAAGTGTAATTTGTGAACAAGTCGTAGCATGGTTTATTAAAGGTAGCTGCAAAATGAGCTTGAGCAATAGCCATTCCAACTGCATTGGAAAAACCTAGGAACAATCAAATGAATAATTAAAAAGAGAACTTATCACGATGGCATTAAAGAGATTGTAATTTACCTTGGCCAAGGGGACCTGTGGATACTTCTATACCCGGTGTGAGATGAGATTCCGGATGCCCTGGAGTTCTAGAATACAGTGTATTTGTAATCAGATTACACATTACAAAGATCATAAAAAAATGGGCCTGTAATTAACTCACTTGCTATCAGTTTGACGAAATTGTTTCAAGTCATCCATGGTGAGATCGTATCCGAGTATGTGAAGTAAAATGTATTGCAATGCACATGCGTGTCCATTGGACAATACGAAACGATCTCGATTAGGCTAAGATAGCAAAAAATGATCGAGAGTTCCATTAATAAATCTATTACCACATTTTTAAGAAAGATGTACTATATTCGTTTTCACATTTTTATTAATTAAATGAACATCACAAGCTCACATTGATCAGGTGAAACGTATACAACCAAAAAAGGCGATCTCTGCAGTTTTTTTTTTGGGTTGACCCGATCAAGGGTTCATTTGATTAGTTTCATAATTCGCATAATTACTTACCCATTTTGGATTTGCTGGGTTTGCAGTAATGAACCTTGAGAAAAGAATGTGTGCCAATGGAGCACATCCCATGGGAGCCCCTATCAAACAGATAATCAATAATAAGTGAAGTCTACAAAATTACGCATACAAAATACTAATCTTTGACAGGAGCTATGAACAGAACTGACCTGGATGTCCTGAGTTGGCTTTACGGACGACATCAGCAGCAAGAGTACGAATGGTGTTGATAGTGAGAATATCAAGTGAATTGGTCATTCTTAAAATTCGTTTACTATTGTGAAAATTTTTCGATATTTATTTTCGAACCAGTGGCTTTGTGTTTTTACACTTCTATGTTGACTATGATAATATGAACTTTACACTTACCAAGATAGAAAAAAAGTGCGATGGAAATTGGTTACTCATGATGAATCATATGTGTATATATATACGTATAAAAAATTTAAAAATCCGGAAATCTTATCTATAAAAATTGCATTTGACGATATAAAAATGAGATTATTCTGAGAATTTTTATTGGCTTTTGATCACGTTTATCTGTTACAAAATTTGAGACATCAAATGAAACTATCGATATTTAGCTTAAATTTGTAAGCCGCCTAACTTTAAAATTTCAATATCTTAGTAGAACTATAATAACAATCAAACCTAAAAAAGAACGTACGTATGTTTGTACGTATACATTACTAATGTCAATTTTATATTTTTAAGATTATCATTAAAATGAAAATGATTAGTCATGATACGAACATATATACCTGATACACTGTTTTGGGATATACGTACTAATTAATCAAATCTATGTCGGGTGTTATAGTAAAAATTAATAATACAGATTTTATGCATAGATCGGCAAAATCGATAGATTACTCGCAAAATATTATTAGTACGTATATATTAGTATTTAAAAAATCGATTCACCTCGCATACTAATAATTTTTTTCTGACAATTTTTGGGGCAAATGATTAATCATTATATTGTAAAAAGAAGTTACGGTTTTAAATTTCATTTACTAAGGTTAATTCGTAATAAAATTCACCTTTTGTTTAAAAGTTTATATGTAAAATTTAAAAAATCTTTAATTAATTAAAAATATAAAACCGTAACTTCGTTTTACAATACAGTACTATAATAATCATTTGACGTAAAGAAAAAAAATTATTAGTATGCGAGGTGAATCGATTTTTAATACTAATATTAATAATATTTTGCGAGTAAAAGCTATCGATTTTGCCGATCTATGAAAATCTGTATTATTGATTGTTACTAGATTTGATTAATTAGTATATGCAGAACCCTAGCTTATAAATACAGTATATCCCAAAAAAGTATACAAACAGTATATATTTGCGAAACTAATTCTGATCAATCTTAATTAACGTATAGTTTAAATTTGTCCGAGTCATAACACTGCATACAGTATACAGGGGAGTACTTTAGGTTTGTTTAAATCACATAATTTTATCGCTGATTTCGAATACTTGACTATCTTAGCACATTGATTAAAGGTCGATGCTCGATTTTACGCACATACTATGTAATTGTTCACCAAAACGATTATATGTAAATTTGGGTATCGACCTTTAATCAGTGTGCTAAGGTAATCGAGTAATCGAAATCGAGTATTCATCAAAATAATTTTTATCTACTATTTTCAACCATTTCGAGTTGCGAAAATTAAGGAATCCTTGCATATAACGTGCGCATCACGTAGTATACGACACGGGTGCCAAATGTATTGTACACGTCACTCTCGATATAACGTAGTACCTCGGGCACATAGTGAAATTAAGATGGTACGTATGTATAGTTCGTAAAAGAAATTCTTTGAGATTTACCTATAAACTATACTAACCCTAAACATGAAAAAAGGACAACATTAGCTACATCAGCAAGTACATTTTTACATAGATCTATGTAGAATTTTTATGTAGAATTATGTAAATTTTTATGTAGCTTTACAAAAACTTTATAGACCCAATGTAGATTTACATATCTATTTATATAAATCTATATATAATTCTATGTAGAATTATATAAAATAGCAAAAAAATTTTGACTTAAATATTAAAGCTAGGATTAGATTTTAAAGTTTAAATTAGGGGTTTGGGGAAGGTTTTTGAGCATGCTGAACATTTTTACTTAGTGCATCGATCGGTGATTATCTTAGTCACTGTAGATATAAATAAATTTATATAGATTTTATATTTATGCAAATAATAAATAAAATCATATATAAGTCTACATTGGGTTTGTAGACCTATATAAAAAATTTTATATAATATTTATATAACTTTATAGAACTACATAAAGTTTATAAAAAAATAACTTACTGATGTAATCATACATTCGTAAATTTTCTTAGCTTATATCTATATAATGGTACGTATACATTACGTACATTACTTAATATAAAACATATTTCTGTAATGGTATAAACCAATTTCGCCTACAACCATTTCGCCAAATTTTGGCCCGATTTAGTTAAGGTTGGCCTGCTTTATAGTTAATGTTGGCTGGAGATTGTCGGCGAAGTGGTTGTCGGCGAATTCTACCAGAACCTTCTGTAATACGTACCCAGTGCGCACTCTCGGGATCTATTATCGTTATAGGTTTTAAAATTGGTGGTAGTTATCACATGTTAATGATTTGAACCGGTTAGACTATTAAGTAAATGTTTAACTGGTTGGTTAATCGGTTGACCTGGCATAATCGGTTAATTCAATATAATCGGTTGACCCGACATCAATTTTTGTGGCTTAGAGATATGTTTAAGTCTATTTTTAAGTAACTCGACTAGCTCGGTTGACCCGGCCAATTCGGTTGACAATTCGGTTAGCCTAACTAATTCGGCTGACCTAGCTAATTCGGTTGGCCTGGGTCAACAGATCTAACCGAAATAATACGGTTGAGCCGCGGTTAACCGATTAGGAATTTTTTACTCGGTTCAAATCATTATCACATGTTTTAATTAATTTTATTGGTCAACTCTAATAACGTGATTTAGTGGTATTAAAAAATTTTTTTTCGTTAGTCACTTCGAAAATTTTAAAGCAATTTTTCCAATTAATCGAATTTCGATTCGTATCATATCATTCAAAACATGGTATTCATTTCCTTCATTTCTATCAATTCATAAAATCATTTCTTTTCACTTCATTATTCGTTCTATGTTTTATAAGTCAAATACAGAACGTTCAAGTTTACCGTCTAAGAAAGAAAAATTAAAAGAAAGGCACGAAAAATGGATGCAGAGTAATTGAATTTTCATATTTGAATACTAATTAATTTTGATCATTCATGTTTAAATTTGAATATTCAAATTAGTTTCATTTCTATTAAAAAGGAATTTTCAAAAAAATATGATATTTATATTTCATAGATAAATGATTCGGATCAGAAAAGTCTACATTTTATTTATTTATATTCACCAAAAATTTACATTTTATATTTTGTGCGAAAGGGTTCGAACCTACGAGACCCAGAGTTATTAAAGACAAAATCAACAAGAAAAAAAGAAAAAAAAAGAACATTTCGCTCGAAGAAACTCTAAATATTTCTTCATTGGTAGAAAGTCTCCCAAAAATTGATAATGATCCAAATTTTCAACCACAACCACAAACAAGAAAATTACATCAAAAACCACCCACAATTGGTTTAAATATTGTAAAATCACAAATAACAAGGAAAAAAATTATGTAAATATTTGTTTCCATATATTTGCACAGTGAATTATTAATTATATAAATTTTAAATTTTGATTTAAAATTTTTATTATTAGAAAAGAGGAAATCCAAAGGTTTCATGAAGTAATACAGCATTCCGCTTTTAAAGCAGATCCATTGTCAGCCGTAAGACAACATGTTGAAAATAATGTAGAAAAAAAAGCGAGCATTTCAAATGATAATCCAATGAATATAGATAAATGCTATTAATAATCCATTAATAATCTATTTTTCCGTTAACTTTGCCCTCTTATGTCGCATCTGTGCAATTTTTACTTTTCGAAGCATATTTACCACTTCATTTAATATCAATACCTGATAAAGAATGTTATAAATTATTATTTACATGTCTATTAAATAATAGTAAATAATAGTAAATAATAGTAAATAATAGGATTTTGTTTCTTATGCTTACCACGCCTATCATTGTGTTGATTAATACAGGAAAGGAAAATACCATGGAAATAAAAAAGCCGTTTTCATCAAAATAATCTTCATTTGAAAAATTTTCCCAGTGGTTATGTGCAATGGAATTTATTTGTCGCGAGAAACTAGCCAGGATCACTTATATGTGTTCATAAAGTTTAATAAGAGATATATAGTAAGGAATTATTCTCATATTGTATGTCGTTTAAAAAAGACTCACTTAAACTAAATGTCACAATTGTAAGAGAATTCGAATTATTTCGAAATTTAATCAGTATAAAAAAGGTTAAGATATGAAAAGAGAGCAATGTCAATAACCAGAGTTGTGACCATTCGACCTTAAATGTATGCAAGTCAACAATTAACGTGAATTGAGCAAATGACTATTAGCATAAAAGAAAGCAAATACCGCATTAACAAAAGCCTGGACACTCTCTACAAATCCCTCCCAACTCAACACATCAGAATGAGTTTTTGCAAAGTGGTAAACGGGTATTCGATTAGTAACTTCCTCAAAAGATTCTGCGCTATGCCGTGAATACAGAAAAATTTAGCTAAATTATCTTTTGTGTAAGAAGTAGAATGTAATTACAGTTACCTAGGTGTCATTTCTTTTCACAAAATATCATATGGGCTAAACGAATGCATTTTCGTTACAGTAGTGATATTTTCGAATTGCACATCAATTTTTTAAATTGACCAATGAAATTGCTTTTTATAAAAATGAATAAAATAATGATCCTGATTAGCTAAAATTAAAAACTACCCTAACCCTAAAGTTAATCGAGAACATTAACGTTAATTAAAGAAATATGAGTGCCTCCGTTTTTAGACGTCCTCCATTTTAGTAATGTGCCCGACTGTATTTCCGGCCCAAAATGTCACATGATCTTCAACAGCCAAATTTATGATTATGTAATCAAATATGATTGGCTAATTTTGTGTAATGAATTTTGATTGGTTACAAATATATATAACCATTTTTTTTTTATATTAAACGGATTACATATAACGATAAACTTTAAATTTTATAATAAAAATTAAAATCTATTCTAACAAAATTGTAGCTTAGACTAAAAGCAACAAATTTGTAAGACAGATTTTTTTTAAAATTATTTGTTTTTGAGTTATAAGCCTTTTTATATTTTATATATAAAAAGTGGATGTCTTTAGCTGTCCGGTACTGTACAAATTTTTAATTACACATAAAGAGTGGATATTGTTTGCTGTCCGATACTGTAGTCGAATCTATAATTTTAGGCTTAAAAATTAACGTTAACAGCTTAACTGATCAATGGAACAAGGTGAAATAAGAAAAGGTTTGGAGGAAAATACACAACTAAGCGATCAAGTGGGTGCTGATTCAAATGACGACGAGGTCATAAATTCTAATGAGTTGCCAAATGCTGAATCACAAGGGAACACACTATCCAGTGTAAAATCTAAAAAGAAGAAAAAAAAGAAAAAGTCTAATAGCGCGAAAGAATCACCTGAAAAGAACAATACCGTAATAGATACAAATGCTAAAGTTGAAAGGTCGAAAAAGAATCAAAAGTCCAATAGTGATTTGGATGAAGTTGTTGCTCACATTTTAGGGTATATTTTAATAATTTATTTAAGGCGTTGTTATATGATTCTCCATGCATTTGATGCACCCTTCTATATCTAAAAATTTTGACTATGAAAATGCTTCAGTAAAAATACTCCTTGCTAAATTTTACTACAAAATATAACTTACCCTAACCTCTTCTAACCTTTGTCCTTACCATTACCCTAATATTAAAGAAATTAAATGCATGGGCACCGTTTAACATTTCCCTTTATTTAATTTAATTTATAATTTTATCTAAACCATTAATTTATTTATATATAATTCGAATAGCGACGAAAAACCAGTTTTGAACGTGTGTTCAGTTCCAAAATGTAAACAAAATTTGTCGATAATGAGTTACACTTGTCAATATTGTAATATGAAATATTGTATAACACATAGGTGAATCTCGCTAAATGATAATGTCTATTTATGTTATTACTTTATTATGAGATTAACTATTAATGTGAATAAATTCTATAAGGCATCCCGAATCTCATTCTCCGAAATGTGCTGAAAAAATAAAAAATAGTTCAAAATCTGAATTTAAACAAGAATCTATGCGTTTTATAACACAGGAAAGAAGAAATCCTGGATCAACAAATGCGAAAAAATTTAATGTTGAGAAAAGTAAAGAAGAATTGAAGAAAAAGTACAAAGAGAAATTAGAACATATCAAACGTGAGGAAAGGGGCAGGAAATAATTGTTTTTCAGGTGTTCTTAAATATAAATATATTTTAATTGAATCATAGAGATCGAGTATATATCTTTTTGGTACGGTACAGTATTGGGTACGGTACAGTATATTTTTAAAGTACCTATATGTATCTAGTAAACAATATAGTATATACTAGGTACTGGAAACCAGTGTGAGTCTGGAGCATAAGTATCATATATTTCTAAAAATAAATTATTTTTTATAAATAATTAAAATAAAAAATAATGTTTTTTAATTAATTTATAATATATCCTATATAGTAAAGTCAAAATTTTACTAAGTAAATCGATTATGCCTATTAAGTAAAAATTGTTCAGGAGATCAAATTACATATATTCTGAAATTTTTATATAATTATGATAATTTTTATTAGTTGATATTTAATTTTTATTGTTATTAAATAAAAATTTATAAAAAATTTTAATCGATTTTTTTAACATAAATTGTAAAAATATATTAATAAAAAATTAGCTAAATTATATAATAATTTTAAGATATACAGTCAACTCTCTCTAAATACATGTTCTCTAAATGCATGTTCTCTCTAAATGCAGGTTTAAATTCTGGGCCCACATATATATTTGATTTCTATAAATACATTTTTCTTAATTGTTTTTTTAATGCATGTTGCTAAAAGTCTGGTCTCAATAAGATACATTTAGAGGGAGTCGATTGTATGTATCTTGATCTTCTAAACAATTTTTACTTAATAGACAAAATCGATTTACTTAGTAAAATTTTGACTTTACTATATAAAAACAAAAGTGGCAAATGGAAAATACCAAAACTACTTTTTTGATATTTTTAATATAAATGCATCAAAAAAGAAATTTCAATTATCAAAAGATGTAGAAGTATAGGTCTTCCACTTCGCTCTAAACAATTAATTTGAAAACTGTACCTAATAAAAATATTTATTACCTAGGTATGATACAGTTAATATTATATTTTAAAGATATACTAGATTTATAATTTGTGTATTTTATAAAACAATTATTTTTTTAGATGTAGTATAGTACAGTTAGTAGTTAAAATATGTATTAGTATTTTTTTATTATAGAGTATAATTTAGAATATATTTAAAGTAGAGAATTGCTATTTTTATCTCTATTTTTGCTATTGCCACCTTCTAAAATTTAAAAAATAATTTGAAAAAAGTATTGTTATTAAAAAAAATCTCTTTTTAGTTTTAATAAAAGTTGTTTATCTACTTTCAAGTTTAGAAATACAGATATTACAACAGAGAACAGAGATTTTAGACTGGCTCTTATACTCAAAAAAAATTTTACGCTATCAGTAGCAAGGACATTAAGAAAATT